CCTGAGACCTCTATAAAAGGATGGCCACACACAAGGGTTGAGGTACGTCTAAACTCCTACTGAAACTCTGCATAAATTATCTCTCAGAAACCCTAGCCGCCACTCTCTCTTTCCCTTTTACACAAGGCTCCGGCCACCACTCACGGCTCCGGCCACCCGGTTTCTACCACACATACATATTCTCGTACCCTATTTTAGCTATCGTTTCTCTTGAGATTGATTGAACTGACTTAGGCATCTAAGGGCCTTTGGCCAACACCCCCCGGGTGTGGTCCTCTTATTGCTATTCGTTTTGCAGGGAGAAACAGAGTTGGAGAAGACGAAGGAATCTTTCAACCGAATATTCCCGTGGGAGGAAATTTGCTCTCACAGTTCTCATGGAGTACAAAGTCATTTACGATAACTGGTCCTCATGAGAAAGTAAAGTAAGGCATCCACACTGGTGCAACCCTTTGCCCCCATGCCTATGTTGGCGGAGCTAGGTTTAGATTGAGAGAAAATGGGAATGAAGATGTCATTTTTTATCTGAGTTTGAGGAGATGGGTTTAGATTTTTCTAAGTTTGAGGAAATAGGTTTTCTGAGTTTGAGTTTGATTTTTTTCTCCCACTGTATCCTTTTATAGAAGTAACTTGCGGGGCTGCTCAATAATAATAATATATATTTTTTAAAGTAATTTGCAGGGCTACTCTGTAATTCCAACTCCTTGTTTCCCGCTCCTCATTTCCCATACTCTATTTTTCGTTTTGAGCTCCACGTCTTTGTGATTAGAATATATATATATATATATATATATAAATTTTTAATTTAATTAAGTGTATAATTTTTAATTTAATTTAATTAGAAAGAAAAAAGATATGTGAAATTCTATTGTTTTTTATAAACAGCTTGTGGAAACATTATAAATATCAAATTGTGTAGTTTATAGCCACAAGGTTGTGTGTAGCATGATGGATAAGTTGTTGGAGATGAATGGAAGTGGAGTGGGTTCAAAACTCACTCTGTGTGTGTTGGATCCTTAATTTCCCTTCATTTTTTTTAGGAAAATGATTTTCTCACTTCCCTTTTATCCACCTACACTTCTTTTTGTTTAAAAACATTAAGTGTAAGTGAATAAAAAGAGAGTGGGAAAATCAGTAACTTTTTTTCAAACCAGTTAAATAGGTATTTTAACGGGTTGGCAGGTTGACCCGAAATCCATCTGTTTAATAAACGGATAATAACAGATTGACTCAAAAATTACCCAATTATTAATCGTGCGGATTCTGGTCGTGTTTTTTCTATGCAGGTTTCGAGTTGTATAACGGATCGAGCCATCTCATTTCCTGAATTATATATGTGGAGCAGGTAAGGTCGCTACGATCAGAATCTCTAGCACAGATAAGTCTAAACACACACACACACCAGAAAGCGAGGGAGAGATGGAAGTATTATATATAGTAGCAGATTAAAAGCTAAAATCCAAGAGAAAAAGAGGAGCTTATAACATTTTGAATATATCTGGCAGCACAACCAAAGAAAGGAACCTAAAAACTGAGATAAGGTCCCATTTCAAATTTCAAAGCTACTTGGCCTTGTTGAACAGCAGGGAGGCCAGGCCCACCCTCCATCCAAGTATCGTAGAGGGTATAGAGGGCATCGAGGGTTCATGCTTTTTGGGTATCAGAGAGGCCAGACCTGCTTGCACGCTGTGACCAGAGCTGTTCTCCAGCTTGGCACTCGTCTCTGCGTACCTGAGAAGGATTCAAACATTCAACTAGAAAATTGCCAATTTCACTCCATTGCCACATCACATTTCTATAGGAAGTTCATGTGTAATAGAGATTCGCATGTGAGATATCTACATACAGATATGCAGCAGTTTGTGAACATACAGATTCACATGTTAGGTTACTACTAACATGTTCTGAAGTTTTTAAAATCTTTACACATGACTAAATTCATGCTATATGCCAGACACAACTAATGAAAAACTGAAAAGCTACTTCCATATCAGCAAAAAGTATGATTATAGACACACATGCATGAAAAACACCACATGGAGCAGGTAAGCTAGATACAACAGTGTAAAAAAATGGCAACCACCATCTCAGAAGTTAGAATTAGACGACACAGTAACCTAAATCCTTGACTCCATAAATTGTTGTTTCTCTGCTGCCAAATTGATGACTAAAAGCATTGTAGCCGCTATGAGTTTTGTTCTATGGAGATATTTCCAAGTCCTAATCTCCTAGATAACATTTATTATACAAAAGGAGGCTCCAGGCCACCTTATGCAGGCCTGCCAAATGAAGGTCCACATATAGTAGGTAAAGTGCCTTTTGTGTGCTTAACCTGCGTGCCTATGATAAGAAGTATCCAAGACTCACTTAGTAAAACCACCCAACAAACTATGTACAACAAATTTACAAGAGGCAAGGGATCTCCAGGTGTTAGGGAAGATTTGGAGTGAATTCGTCTAACATGTTTTGTTCTGTCTTAGATTACGGGGTGCTTAACATGGTAGATTCTGAATGGGATGTTTCCTTTTAAGATTAACGCAATCAGAAGAATTTGCCAAAGTAAACATATAAAAGTTTAAAAAAAGAGAAATGAAAGCATGAAAGGAAACGTACACGGAAGACACCGTGCCTTCGTATGCAAATGTTGACATGCCCTGTCTTTGCTTATGCTTGGGATTGGCTGTGCAAAGCACATAAACACGCCCGCGACGTTTAACTGTCTTACAAAACTCACACATCTTCTTCACAGAGGAACGCACCTTCATGGCTACTGAATTCATATATTTTAAAAAACAAAAAAACAAAAACAAAAAAATTTAAGAAACCATCAAATTCAGCACCAACCCAAGTCATGCTTGAGATGACTAATGAGAAACAAAAAACAGTTGCAAATTGAACAAGAAGCTGGCAAAGTAATCAGTTAAATTTTCAATTTTTGTAAATGAAGGGACCTAATTATAATATGTCATCACCATCAGTAGGTTCAGATTATCAAATCCATGAGAGATTCACAATCCACAGTATATGCATAAAATCCATATTAAACAAAAAACAAATGCCGACGGTTGGATCAAAATCCGACTTTTATTATCTTAAAAAAACAGGTAAAACATGCATAAATAAAACCAATTACAGAAACCCTGGAAGCATGTAGAAATTACTAGCACCCAATAGCAAATGTTCAGCAGAGGACAATTCTATACATATTTTCGTACATCAATGGAGCACAACAAGTACCTGATGGCTGACGACGACGGCGTCTGGTTTGGTTGATAAAGAAATGACCCCGCCTTTCTCTGTAGTGTGGGTGTGTGCTGCTTCAATATAGACTTCCGATTCCGATTCTGAAAAAATTCTTTAATTTCGTAACTTTCCGATTCCAAATTTCCGAATTCTTCCTCAACTGACAAAAATAAATGGTTAAAACTAGGGGTTTCATAAGAAGCCCAACTTTAAGGGTTCAATAGGAAGCCCAACTATTTAGAGATTTAAAAAATCTCAACTTAAAACCCAACTAGGGGTTTCACAAGTAATTCAACTAGACCTTTAAAAGTTGGAGTCGATGTGGGACTGCTGCAACCACCCACAACCCGGTCTCTTCTCTGGCCTAATGAGTCCCGGTTCTTTGGTAATTTCATTGGAGACCTATTCACCCTTTGATGGACCTCTTCATCGTCGTCTCTGGTCATGGTGGTAGTGGACATGCTCTGACTCAGGCTGCAAATCTCCGATTCCTGTTAGATGTCTCCATTGTTATTGTTAATGGGTAATCTTTTCTGGGTCTTCTTGCTTGATTCTCTTCTCAAAGACCATTGCTTTTGAGGACCTAAAGCTGAGGACTTTTCAGGGGTAGTGGTACTCATACCGCAACCCATTTGGTTGTTTTCAAAAGTTTCAAACTTTCTATCAAGATTTGGTAACCAGGAGCTACTAGCTAGTAGCAGCTAGTGGACTGTGAGTGAGTAGAGTGTTGTTGCTGCTGCAATAGGCTTTAATAAAATTGGAAAAAGCATTGTGGGGTTTGCGCTCAAAGATTGGTCGTTATTGCCAGAATTGAGGTCACAGACCATGCTCTACGATGGACCATGGTGGGTGGTTGGACTAATTTGGTTGGGACAGGTCAGAGACTCAGAGGTTCTTGATGAAAATATTGACAGCTTGGGAGCGTTTGGGGCCAATGAAATGTATTTATTATATTGCATTGCAGTGTAGGACAAAAAGTAAAAGGAAATACTTGGCAAAGGAAATCTAGTTTATTGAGTCTAGTCTAAATTTTGGTATATTATGTTAAGGATCTTGTTGGGTGAGGAGAGGGGAGATAAAATTTTAAAAAATATAAAAAGTTGGAAGTCTTTTGATATTTTCAATGCGTATTAATTATTTTTAAAAATTAATAATCTATTTTAAATGTAATCTTAACCGAAAACTTCCTATATATATACACAACAATCTATACTATTTGTTCATTCTTAATTAAAGTAGCTTGTGCTTACATGTTATATGTGTAAAGAGTATTAAACTTGCATTCAATATGTCAGTTTTGCTCTAGACAATTGGAATACTGTGATTGTCAAGCTCCAATGAATATACTTATCTTATATGTGGTGTTTCATGTATAAAATAATTTTATAATTGAAAGTTTAAAATTTTAAAAAAATACATACATATATAGAATACAAAACGAAATAGTATGATATTCTTTACATTTACCACATATGTAGTACGTTTGCATATAACAAACACACATATGTATTTTTGTTATATTCAAACAAGCACATTTGCCAAAAATATATAGCCTTAAAGTTTTATACTATTATGTTTAGTATATATTTTTTGGCCGAGCCTATGTTAGTATATATGAATATTTGTAAGTTGGGTACTAAAATATAACAAATAAGAAATCAAACATATAATACCTGTACACTAAAAATAATGCAATATATAACTAGAAACTCGGAATTTTTCGGAAAAAAAAATTTGGAATAATCGGATCAAAATGGGTTCGGAGAACTTCGGAATTTTGGAATTTTCGACATTTATTGAAAATATCAGATTCGGCATTTTCGGATATCGAATTTATCTAAGTCATATTTTTTTGGAAATATTCGGACCAGAATCAATCGAAATTGGATTTTCCAATCCAATTTACACCCCTAGGAGAAGAGTTTCTTTTAGCTTTTATATGTTTTGTTCTTCTAATAACTTAAATCTTACTTTTAAATTAAATTTGAAATTTTTTATGAATATTGTATTGTACTTGAGGAAAAAGAAGGCTTTTTATCACAAAACGTCCCTGACGTTTGCGAAACTATCAGATTGCATCCTTAAAGTTTTTTTGTATCACTCATGGTCCCTAACGTTAATATGGGTGCTCTTAAATAGTCCCTCTGTCAAAAAAACTGTTAAATTCAGGGATATAATCGTCAAATCAATTCAAAATTAATATATATATATATTGAAATTCAAGAAGTGATTGGGAGAGGTAGCTATGGTGTTGTTGCACCTGCAGTTGATACACTGGTGAGAAAGCAGCTATTAAGAAGATCAATGATGTCTTTGAGCATGTCTCCGATGCCACAAGAATTTTAAGATAAATTAAGCTCCTTTGGCTGCTACATCACCCTGATATTGTAGAAATAAAGCATATAATGCTACCTCCTTGCAGACGAGAATTTAAGGATATATACGTTGTATTTGAGTTGATGGAATCTGACCTTCCTCATGTTATAAAGGAATCTGACCAACATTGCAGCCTTGGTTGCCATTGCCGCTGGTACAGTCCAGAAGTTGTCGCTCGGACAGTGGGATCAGTTTCCCAGTTTTGATTTGGATAATCCCTTCCACTGCTGCCACTGCAGAAAATGCCCAGCAACAGCCTACATATATAATACAAAAACAAAAACATCAATACTTAGTTAAGAATATGGATGAGTTAAGAAGGTAATTAATATAAGGAAGGTGGATCTCTTAATTACCACAGCTTCCTTGATTCTTTATGGGGGTGACAGCTGCTGTTTTGCCCAGAAATTTGAAGCTTTTTTGTCACCAAAAGGTTTTAGCGACAGATGTTCATCAGATTTTTCGTCACTAAAAATCAAATTTCCAGATCAACTTCAGACTTATATATGCCTTGGGCTCTGGCCAATTGCGACGGATGTTCCAAATTTCCTGATTTTTTGTATTTCCACATGTTTCTAGACTTATATATAAGTATATTTATTTATTTATTTATAATTTTAGATTGATTTGACTATTATATCCTTGGATTTAACAGTTTTTTTGACAGAATGACTATTTAAGAGCACTCATATTAACGTTAGGAACCATGAGTGATACAAAAAAACTTTAAGGATGCAATTTGATAATTTCGTAAACGTCAGGGACGTTTTGTGATAAAAAGCCGAAAAAGAAAGATCTATGCATGTGCCATATCATCATTTAATGGATATTCTGATGAACAGCTTAATAGCATAACCACATTGTGATAATTTCAGAAGGTGCGGATGCTTAAATGTAAAAATTGAAAACATGGGTCTTAACATGCCTTACAGGGTAAAAGTTACAGGTACTAAACTGAAATTAACACTTGAAGAAAAGAAAAAAAACAGAATATAAATGTTGCCAAATGGACTCTTAAGCTTTTTTTTAATATATATATAATGATTAAGGCAACAAGACACTCTTGTGACTTGTTAATTGTTGATAAATATTTACATGCAGTTCTATTAACAGATTGGTAATAAACCACTGCGACACGATGAGGAAATGACTGCAAGTGTCAAAAAGCCCAAAATAACATATCAGCACAGCAGAAATGACCAACTCAAACTTACTACTCTGGCCATATTCCCCTTGGTATAACAAAAACCATCTCCATAGTCCCCACCCAACTTGGAGTAAACATTAAGTACCAAAAACAGTGCCTGATCTCAAAAAATGTGCCTCTCCTTCATCTTTCACTGCCACAAAACTGTGGAGACAATTATCAATTTGAGCTCACAAGTAAATCAGAAAAAACAATTAAAATCTGCAAAAAGAAGGAAAATAACCCATCAGATGTTCCTGTGAATAAACCAAGGGAAAAATCTTTACAAGGATTCTCAATTTTGTGACAATGTGAAGTAATGCCGCAAGATAATCTTGCTACAGACTGACTTCAAGTTCCCTGGTCAAAATGGTCCAAAGACAATGTTCCAACTCATTCAAACCAAGATGGACTTTTAGCAACCAGTAACTTCACTAAGATCCTGGATACTGATTCACTGAGCCAGACATTAATGACCTAGGTGGCAAAACATAATAGGCACTGGTTTTGGCAAATTTTGAAAATTAGCCACGGTTCAAGGATTTCGAGCACTACTCGATGGGGGAGGAGGGATATCTAAATTCTAAAGAAATGGTTAAAAGTCTTCAATGGGTGCAAAAAGCGGCTAGTGTTCAGAACTTGCCCGCTATTTAGGTTTCAGGCCATGGACCAAGTTTGAGATCATAATCTTGATAAGTGTTCCTTCACTAAGTTCCATGAATGTCAAAATTGTTCCTTCACTAAAGATGAACTCAAGAAATCAATCCAACTATTGAAGGCAATTCAATGTTTTTCTTTTTTCGCGTTCAAAAGCCCAATTCATGTTTGAAGATGAAAAGAACACAATAAATTATTTCAGTTTTCTAAAACATGGTTGCAGTCAATATTATTTGTGCAAATGTTCAATACATGTTAGCAACACGAGCACGGTCAACATTGATATCTCATCTTCTTCTTTTTTTCTTTTTGGTGAGGGGGGAGGGCAATAATGTTACATTTTCTGATATCATTTGTTAAAGGTACTATTTATGTTCTACTTAATAAAACGGATTAGAGCATTTACAAACTAACCAGCTGTGTCAATCATGTCATCCACCACAACTACTACTTTTCTCTTCACTTATCAAATTCATCACCTTTAAAATAGATGGCATTTGAGAGAGAGAGAGAGAGAGAGAGAGAGAGAGAGAGATGGGATGAAAAAAGGAAATAATGCCATTGTGAACAATCAATTGAGATTTTTGAGGAAATGCAAAAGAGTTTGAATGAACAAATATAGAAACAATATGGGCACATTCATCATCATTTTTCAGAATCTGGACACGTGTTGTGCTGAGAAATATTATAGTAAATCGGAAAGGGGATGGGGGATTTCAACGGCTGGGCAAAGATGGCAGACATGCCATCAAGTAATCACATTTTCAGTAGAGACCATGGCTACGTCAGGGATATAGAGCAAAACTGGGGTTAGAACAAAAACAAGGTGGTCTGAAATTATCCCAACGGATAATATGAGACAATATAGGATGGCATAGTTTTCAGGGTTAATTTCAAAAAGCGTACAACCATTGATTGGGAATTTTTAGATCATTCATGTGTTGGAAAGGAAAGATCCCGGAAGAGGCAACATGGATCAACGGATGTTTGAAATCACTTAATGTTTCAGTCATAATTAAAAGCTTTTAAGATTGAGTTAGAAATGAGTTCACTGATGCATCCCTGATATTAATATCAAGAGGAAATTTAGCATCACACCATTGGAAATTATTTTAGGGAAATAAATAAATTCAAGTTTGCACTTTAAACTGCTACAAGCTAAGTAATTTCATGGTTCAAACGTTTAGTTCATTATTTATGGTTAGCGTTTACCATTCATATGAAATTGGTACCGTGATGAATTTTAGAGGTGGACCAAAATAAGAGAGCATATTCTTATATGTAAACTGACCATTTCATTTCAACTTCGACCTTCGCCTGCATATGTTCCTCCACTTATCCTTAAGGTCAATTGGGGTACGACTATGCAGAAACACAGAACCACCAAATTCCAGTATTTGCTTCCATGGAATATTTCCTTCATCAGTTCTTGAAATTGTTTCCACTCCCTTCTGCAGCAATATAAAAGATGTTACAACATATCTAAAAAGTCTAATAAATAAAAAAATAGAAACAACACATATGCAATTATAATGACAATTAGGTATTTAGTGTAAAATGCAAGTAGAGATATATAGTGTAAACTGGAACTAGAACATAATCTTGAGTCAATAAAGGAACATTAGAAAGGAAACCACGAACCTTGAGCATTTCTTCCTCCTCAACTGTCCATGGAACTTTAATCCGCCTTAACTGAGGAGCTGCCGGGTATGAGCTACAAGACACAAAATATGTTTATTCCCTATTAATAACTATTACAATCAAATCGTCAACTCACTGCTTTATAACCAATAGGTAAGTGTATGGGTTGGTTGGGGAGAATACAGGACTGCAATTAAAGCTCTGGGCAACATAAACACTGACTGTTTTAGACATTCTTTGAGCACATAGACAAAGTATTTTACATTTCAAGGCATGAAGTGAGATATTGTAACAATAGAAATTGAAAACACTTTGAAAGGCAATAACTTACTAAAGGTTTTTGCTCCTTCGGGGTCTTATAGAATATTTGGAAGTGCTAGACTTCTGATTATCAACTTGCTCGGAATCAATATTAACTTCATATCCTTGGTCAATAAGAAGGTTTTCTGTGTTTTTACTGGACAAAGGAACACCTACAGGTATGCACTCCCGGGCCACCTTTTCTTCCTCTTCCTTTTCACCAGTTGATACATCAAGTTTTCTACAAACTGCAGTAGCACTTTCGTCTCCACACTCTGAATTGACATGAACACATGATGCAAAAGGTGCTACATGTTTCTCATTACCTGTAATATTCTGAAATTGAAAGTCATTGAATTCATTTGCATGTTCTTCACATTGCTTTCCTAGATTTTCTTCTCTCTCTCCCAAATGCCCATTCTGGTGACTTTTTTCATTAAAATCTTCATCAAAATTCCTCGTGCAGAAATTCTCTTTGTTGTGTGGTCTTCCAAGACATTCCTTTGGCTGATGTTCCAGAGTATGAATAAACGCATCTAGGTCTTTCTTTAAAAGGGAAGTTTCTTTCTTAGCTTCAAGGTATTCAGTAAGATCAAGAGAATATATACAGAAGGGGCAGTAAAAGTTACCCTTCTCATAATGAATGGCTGAAGAATGCAGCCAATTTTCATGCACCACAACAGGGCAATCACTGGTTTTACAAATCAACAACTGACTGCTTTCATTACTCTTCTCACCAAGATTTCTCTCTGTACAGTCAGCTGTCACTGAGGAACGATGACTAGATGTGCATTGAAAACTCAAGAAAGCATGCTTCTTCATGGCGACATCAATCTTCTCATCATGAAATCCATCATTATCAGTTAATGCCTCTGACTCATAATGGCGTAACCAATCCAAGAGCTCTTTCGCTTCATCCGGAATGCTCTTCTGCTGGGACCCATCTGCAGATGCAGGACATACTATTTCAATGCAAGAATCATGCTCACTGTTAGAATCAGATTCTTTAGCAGAATCCTTATGTTGGGTTTCACCTAGAGGAGCAGTACCTGATATTCTTGTTTCAGGACATTGTTCCCTATCATCTTTGTCTTCATAAGCAACGCTCTTCTGTCGGGGTTCATCTGCAGATGCGGGATGTGGTACTTCAATATGAAAATCCTGCTCACTGTTACAATTGAATACTTTAGCAGAAACCTTATGCTGGGTTTCATCTGGAACAGCAACACAGGATGCTCTTAGTTCAGGATGAAGTCCACCATCATCTTTGGCTTCATCAACATACGTATATTGAGGGGCTCCATCCTGAAATGTGCCTTGAGTCATTGAAGCTTCATCACAAGGATTTTCTGACTGACTCTTATGGACTGCATTGTCAGTGCTCTGTCCACACCTCTTTGAGGCAGTATGATAATCATGATCATCCTCTATGACCTTGCCTCCGTCCATCATTCCTATCTGATTTTCTGCCAAGTCACACCTTTCTCTCCCAGAAAGTGGAACATCTCTTTCAGATGAATCTTCCAACAGTTCTCTTCCATGTAAAGGAATTTGGTTCTGCTCTATAGACTGTAAAACATATGAGGCATCCCATTTCATCCTTTTGGCCATTACATAGCAATCATCAGAATGAATTACTCTATTACGTTTTTCATCCGCCGGGTTTTCCCTAGCCAAGCCCTTGCCATCTTCAGCAATGCTCTTCTCTTGGGATCCATCTGCGGATGCAGGATACGGTGCTTTA